CACATGTGTGAAATAAAAGACAGAACTCCTCACCCTTGGATAGCTAGGATAGCTTCCTAGCTGGTTTCTCCACTTAATTGTCCACTTAGCTTCCCAACTTTATAAGGTTGAGTCGTGAACTCTGCGGCTTCCTCGTAGGCATGCTCACTGTCTGCTCTTGTCCCTGTCTCCATAAATGGCACCAGCATTTTTCTAGCATTCTTCCAACATCCCAGAGCCTTTTCACCCCTCCTTCCATTCCCCTGCCACCCTCCAGCCCATCAGGAAATGCTGTCAGCTTCCCCCTCCCCACCCCAACACTCTGAGAATGCAGCTGCACTCCACAGCACCTGCACCTACTGTCGCAGCTTATCCTCCACCATGAGGCTCCCCTGGGTGACCGACCTGGCCTCCTGGTTGCTCTCCATTCCTGTGCATATGGTCTTCTGAGCTGCTTCCCTTCCTGTAGCCATTGTGACCATGTCTGCCGGAGTTACATGAAGTTGCTGCTCTGCACGAGGCCCTCCAAGGACACCCATCTCACTGGTGAGGTCCTGATCCCACCCAAGCCCCTCCTGATCCTCTCTGACCTCATCTCCTGCTGCGCTTCTGCAGCACACCACATCGCTCACACCACTGGCTCAAGGCCGTGGACCCCAGTGCCACTGTTTCCCTTCCCTCATTTGCCCCCATGGCCTCCTCCTTCCCAAACACTCACATGGAGAGGCATTGCATGCACCCTGGCTTCATTTCCTGGCCACATCCCCTTGATTCTTCCCCTACAGCATTTAGCCTGCCACACATACCACTATTACATGTTCCATGTTTGCTCATCTATGCATTCTGTCTGCCCACACCAAAGTGGAAGCTTTTGGGGGGAAAAGCACTTGGATTTCACTGCTGAACCTCAGCACTTGGAATAGTGTGTGCCCTCCATGAATGTTCATCAGTCACGAATGAGTAGGTCCACCCTACTGGGGCAGAGGAGCGCCCCTCTGTCTCCTGGCCTGTGGAGCCCAGGAATGCCACCTTGCATCAGAGGTGCAATGAAGCTCAGGCCTTTGAGATGAGGAGGGTATTATAGAGATGGACCCCAGACAGTAGCCAGAATCCTGATGAGTGAAAAGGGAACAGGAAAGTTAGCATTAGAGATGTGAAGCTGGAGGATGCAGGCACCCTCGGGGCCACAAAATGGATAACCGCTGCTGGGAGGCTTAGACAATAACCCACTGAGCTATGCTTCCATTCCTGGGCCCTGGATGCTGGGATGCCACGTGTGTATTGTGTAGGCTGTGGGTGTTTGTCCCAGCAGCAATGGGAAACATCCACCATTGCTGTACTGGAGTTGCCTCTAGAAGGGTGTGCTGGTCTCCCCGGACCTTGCACATCACAGGTGCTGGTTCCTGGAGCACAGGTACCCAGAGGGTCCAGCAGGGCCTGGGCCTCTGTGTGCTCACTGCGAATGATGGTATCACTGGCTGCAGGTCAGCTTTCCCGGAGTGTCCCAAAACCTAAGCCCCAGGATCTGAAATACTGCTAAGCAGGAATTCACCATGGCTTGGTCAGAGCCCCCCTCATCTGCCACCAGGAGAAACAGGGGCTGATTCTCATCCACTCTACCACCAGGCAGACCTCCAGGCTAGAAGGGGGCATTCCAGCAGATGTTTCAGGGAGTCTAGAACCAAAGGCATGAATAAGGCCTAAAAGATACCAAATCCAGAGACCAGGAAGCTGTGAGCAAGCAAGCAGTGAGCACTCTTGGCAGGAGTCACACTGAGGTCTGCAGTGCAGCCACCTTGGCTGCAGGCTTGGGTCAGGTGCACACATGGTGGACAGCCCCAGAGAAGGGGCACTTGCTGTTTGCTTGACGGGCCCCCTCCTCACTGTTGGCCTTGTGATGCGGTGCCTGCGCGGAGTTTGCTCTCACTGCTGCTGCAGCTGAGCATGAACAGAAGTGACTATCCCACTGAGCCCCCTCATCCTCTGGTCCCCACACAAGCACCTTAACCCAGTCCAATGAAGATCTCAGAGTGCGGTACACAGCACCGCAGGGCTCATCTGCCACATCTTCCATGCAGTGGTGTTTTTAGTTTTGTTTGTTTTTGTTTTGTTTTTTGAAGAAAACTGAATCCACTTGTCCAACATGAATGAAGCCTTTTACTTCTGTATTGCAAACATTTGGGCTTTCAGTGATTGTTAACTGACAGCTAAGCCCAACAGGAGCTGGCAGCCTGTCCACAGAAAAATTATCTGTATTTCAGACTCAATCAAAAGTAAACATTGTCTGCAGCCCTTCAAGCCTCCATTAGCCCCATGGAAACCAAGTGCAGCAGAGAAGGCGGCCCCTCACCCCGCCCCGTGTCCCACAGGCTCCCTCGATCCCTGCCCTGCCATCTGCACCTTGAGCCCTCTCCCCTTTGGGGTTCTTGAGGACTGATTGAGGTTCTTGTAGGCATTCTTATTTCATCAGGAGAATGGCTGGGAAGACTTGGGCCAGGCTGTCTGCACACCCATCAGGTTTGCATTTCCTATAGGTTGTTGTTGGGACCTTGACTAATTTTACTTTTTAAAGATTTCTTTTGTTTTGTTTTGTTTTGTTTATCTCACATCTTTTCTTTGGAAAGAGGGGTCAGCAGTGAGTTCATTTTATTTAATAAGCACCTGGGAAGATGAAGCATTTCAAAACTTTCTCTGTAGTAAAGCCATACCCCAAAGTACCTGCCGTAGATATCTAACCTAGCAGCTAAATCCTCACCTTGCACACACCGGGATCCCATATGGGCGCCGGTTCTAATCCCGGCGGCCCCGTTTCCCATCCAGCTCCCTGCTTATGGCCTGGGAAAGTAGAGGACGGCCCAAAGCCTTGGGACCCTGTGCCCATGTGGGAGACCTGGAGGAGGCTCCTGGCTCCTGACTTCAATCGGCTCAGCTCTGACCATTGCAGCTCCTTGGGAAGTGAACCAGCAGATGGAAGATCTTCCTCTCTGTCTTTCCTCTGTAAATCTGACTTTCCAATAACAATTAACAAATGTGTGTGTGTGTACATATACAGCCCAGCAGTGAGGGAAGGCAGGAGACCTGTAACCAGCAGAGACGGCCCTCAGCCCAAGGGCCTGCAAACCCCTTAGAAATCAGTGTCCATTGGGTAGTTGTGTCTTCTGCCTCACCATTATTTCAGAAAGTCAGTCAGCTTTAAACGCACACAGGCCCCTTAGGGATCCTATGTAACAAATGCAGACGCATTCATCTCTACCTACATCTCTAGCTGAGGGCCAACCCCTATATCTCTGAATTTCAATGGAAGGAGGGAGGGAAGGGCCAGCTGACTCGAGACACCAGAAGTCTGGATGAAGGTTCATCTGGGCCTGTGAACAAAGTCCCATTTATAAACTTTTGTTTGAGTCTACCAGGCCAAAAAAAAAAAGTTCAGTGTAATGACACACAATTGCATTATGGACCCTGAGTGCTTTAGCAGTTTGTCCCATTAACCACAAAATGTAACTTGTGAGGTGGAAGGGAAAGTGGGTCACCCTTCCCTGCACCAGGCGTCTGTCACAGGCAGGATCAGAAGCCCTGACCGCCCCTCTGCAGGTGCCAGGTGCCTCAAGCCTCACGTATGCAGTGAGGAAAGATGGAGTAAGGATGAGATGAGATGAGATAAGCCCAGGAACTAGGAACCAGAGTCTCTAGGTTCAACTCCCGCCTCTGACTCTTGCTTCTGATTTTCTGCAGGGCTGAAAGCTCCAGTCCTAGAGTTCTTACACTCAAACAAGAGGCCTGCGCTGAGGTCTCAACTCCCAGCCATAACCTGACCCAGTCTGAGGCATTCTGGGGGGGGTGAACCAGTAGATGAAAGATATTCATTCTCTCTTTCTTGTCTCTCTCTCTCAAATTAAAATATATTATCTATTATAAATATGTACATTTATATCTATTGATCAGGTGACAAATTAGAGTGTACTTAGCAGATCCTGCCATGTAAATGTGATGACAATATGTCATCAGAGTTTCTTTCCTAAGAGGACAAGGTCCTGAAGGATGCTGTTTTTAGCAACGGAAGTGGTTTGCATTCGGGAGCAAAGGTTGGCCGTGGCTATGAGCAAACTCTCGTCTGACACAGCTAGTAAATTAAAGTGAGTACAGGGTTCCCTCTGGGGCCAGGAGGCTGGAGACTCACAGCAGCCACTGGCAGCTGCTGGGCATGCTTGAGTGGCATCATGAGGTGGGCAGAGATCAGAGATGGTTGTGGCAGTCCCTATCCCAGGTCAGGAAAGCCTGCATTTGTCCAAGAACCAGAGAAGGGCCAGTCCCTGGACAGAGCCAAGTGGAACCAGCATGAAGAGGAGCTGAAAGGGACCATGTGGCTTCCCTTCCAGAGAGAGGCCTGTTTTCCATCGCTGGACACTCTGTGCAAGTCCAGTTCTGGAACAGGGTAGAACTCACTGACCCTTGTGTCTTACTGTGGACTTGACGTTCTCTGTGACCCGTATAGCTGCCTATGTCACGCTCCCTGCCACACACATTTGATGACATGTTCAAATCTCATGCAGCCTTCGCCTGCCCTGCCAGGTAGGACCCCTAGAGGCTGAGCAATGCGTTGGAAAGCCGCTAAGGGTCTCCCACCACAGTGGCCAGGCCATCAAGACCCTTTGCTTTCCTGGTTGCTCCTGCTCCTGATACAAGTCCCTGTGTGTCCAGAAAGATGACCATGGCGTTTTGGGTCAGCCAACGCTGTCTGGTTTGCACAGGCCTAGGCAGCCAACAGAGTGGGGACCTATGGCTGCGGAGCGTTCAGTTTGGCCCTGCCAGGTCTCCCCAGGGTTTTGGGGGGCGGGGGCGGGAAAGCCAGAGAACATGTGATGAGGAGAGCCATGTCTGTTCCACAAGGTTTCTTGTTACCTCATTACACAACTCAGATGGTTTGCCTTTAACGGTCTGCTTGTCTTGTTCCGTTTGACCTATAAAAATGTTAACATCCTTCAACTAGATGCCTATCGAAGAGCTGAATGTTCCTTTGTCAGGTCGCATGGCATATTCGACAGTAACCGCCAGGATCCCACGGGGCTGACAGCTGCTCTACAGACCACGGACCTGGCTGGGGTCCTGCACATGCTGTACTGTGTCCTCTTCCACGGCACCGTCTCCGACCCCAGCTCGGCCACCCCCAAGGACAGCTACAGCCAGCACACGGTACAGGTGGCCATTCAGAGTCTGCGCTTCTTCAACAGCTTCGCAGCCCTCGACCTGCCCACTTTCCAGGTACCGAACTCAGGCTGTGCTGCTGTCAGCCAGCCAAGGGCTATTATTTTTAACTGGTCTAAAAATTTTCAAGGTCCGAAAAAGAGATTTCTCATGTGCTGGTTCATATCCCGCATGCCCACGGTAGCCAAGCTGAGGCTGAAATCGGAAACTGGGAATTCAGGCCAGGTCTTCCAGTGGCAGGCAGGGATCCAGCCCATTAAGCCATCACCATGGTTTGCCTCGGTGCACATGAGCCGAACGCCAGAGGCAGAGGCCGGAGTTGGAACAGGAGATGCTATGCCAGACACTTGCCTGTGATATGAAATTCCCTTCCTGGACTAGAGCATAACGCATAAACTCCTGTAAATAGACTACGACACAGATGCATGGATTACACGTGCATGTGCAACTCTTCCGATTCATTAATCAGTTCTCTTCTGTGCTTCCACATTTATGCCTGTGACTGTCATGTGAAACGTCACACCCATTGTACAGATGGAGGAGTTGGCAGGGTCACACGTGGTCTAGCCAGAGCTCATACCCATGGCCCTGCAGCCCTGAGGCCCATCCTCTGAAGCACATTGCAGTTTACAAACTCCCCGTCTTGTATTCCTTGGATAGAGGTGTTATTATCCCATCAAGGTGATGCTTTCCTGTGATAAACAGAACCAAACTTGGATAAGTTATTTTGATTAATAGGGACTTTCTGTGGATGATCTGATTTCTGTCCAGTGTGAAGTGCACATATAGTTAAATGTGAAAATTCCTATAAATTAGTTTTGTGGTTTAAAAGAAAAATTGCTTTTATTCTGTAATATCAGACTGCCAGCTTAAGAGTTAGATTTTTTTTTTTCTTTTTGGCATGTAAGAAACTTAATTTCCAAAAGCACTTCACCTTTTTTTTAGAAGAGAACAAGCCCAAGGGAGTAGAAATTCTCTTTCAGTTTATTCACCATCAAGTGAGTTCATGAGGAAAGGAAACCTCTGCAGCTCATGAGTCTATGATGAGGGCAGCTGTGCCCAGAGGGAAAGGGTGAGAGAGAAGCAAACTCAGCCACGGTGGGTTTTGTCACCGGCGACAGAGGTACAGTTTTGTAGTGCGCATGCACCTGCCCTTCTGCTCCTGGAAGGCAATTGGCAAGCACACCCCTGCAGGCCAGCAGGGTTCCCTGTCCTCGGCCATTGAGGCAGCCTCTCAGTGAGCACACCCTGGGCAGCTAGGTAGAGCCACACAGGGCAAATACTCACCAGCTGGCTCCTCGCCTCTCCTCTGTTGAGTCTCCTGACCAGGGTTTGGGCTCTGCTGTGAACCAGGCAGGGGCTGCATGTGAACCAGCCTCTAGCTCAAATCTGCAGTTCCATCGCCCCTCCCAGTGCCAGGGGGTGTGGCCATACTCACAAAGGGTGACACTGACCTCCAGCGGGCCCTGAGGCACACCCAGTGGCCAAAATCCCAAGTTGCCTCCTAGAGTCCTTCACACCCACTTGGGACAAGAGGCCCCGCCAGACCCAGCCTGACATGTACCCACCACCGGGGCAGCCTCTTGTGCCAGAGCACAAGGCTGGGCAGCCCTTCTCAGAGTCAGACAGCTGCGCTCCGTGGCGGTGCCCTCTCTCACCCCTCTCACCTCCCTCACAGGCCCTCCCAGCCCTGGCCCTCCCCTCTTCCCTCTCCTTCGATCCCTCTTAATTCTGTCCCTCCTCTTGTCTTTCTTGCTTGTCTCTGTTCTGCCTCTCCTGTCCCCTTCTAGTTCAGCCCTTATGGCCTCCCTCTTTCTCATTCTCAGCCCAGGTCAGAGGCCCAGGTATCCTTTGCCCTTAGCCAGAGCACAGACTGCAAGAGCTGCAGGGGCCTTCCTTGTCCTGCAGTTCCACAGATGGTGCCAGGCCTCGCTGCCACCCTGGGTATGGTAGACCCATGCACGTCCACACACGAGGGACCCAGGTGCCCGCTCTCCAGTGCCAGGAGCTTTAGTGCCCGCTCTCCAGTGCCAGGAGCTTTAGTGCATCTGCAGAGGATGACCTGACAGTGTCAGGTTCGTTCCTCCATGTAAACAGATATGGGCAGTCAACACGCAGCCACTTGGTTAGAGCACAGAGCATGAGTCCATTGTCAGGGCCACCGTCATCTCTGCTCACGCGTCAGCACTTAGAGAGGAGGGGCCCAGGGAGGGTAGAGCTGCCTCTGGAGCTCACCTCCCTCTCACCTGCAGGGATGGCCCAGAGAGTAGGCTCCCCTGGACTCTGGGTTAGAGCAGCTGCCAAGAGCTTGTGTCAAGGGTGTGAGCATCTCAGACCGCCCGGGGTCTGGGCTGTACTCAGAGGAAGTTGCCAGAAAGCCAGAACTGCATAGCCGACTTCTGGCCCACTTCTTGTCGGTCAGAACAGTTGTAAGGGGTGACGGCATGTGCCCGCCTTCCAATGGGATAACTGTTAGAAATGTGTGATTTTTTTTTTAATTATCTGCCACACTTAGCAAGCTCAAGCTAAGGTAACACATGTGTCCCTACAGATAACTGACTTGGGTGGACTGACTTGAGCCCTAAAAAGTACCATTTTCTGGATAGACATGATAGAGTAATTCATGTGATGGTTCATCAAAACTTATGTGTCAGGCCAGTGCTGTGGTGTAGAGGATGAATCCACCACCTGCAATGCCCCAATCCATATGGGAGCCAGCTACTCTATTTCAGATCCAGCACCCTGCTCCTGTGCAAGGGAAAGACAATGGAGTGTGATTCAGGGGCTTGGGTCCCCTCTACCCATATGGGAGACCCAGTACCTGGCGCCTGGCTTAGCCCTGGCCTCTCCCATGTGCGAGACCCAGTAGCTTGCTCCAGGCTTCAGCTACCTTAGCCCTAGCCATTGCAGCCATTCATGGGAGTAGGCCAGCTGGTGGATCTTTGTCTCTTTTCCTCTCTCTCTTTATCTGCCTTTCCCTCTTTCTCTAACTTTCAGATAAATCAATAAAATCTTTTAAAAACTCACGTGTCAGAAGGGAAATTTCAAAAAACTATGTGTAAAGTCAGGAAGAGGGCCAGTGCTGTGGCATAGTGTGATAAGCCTTCACTTGTAGTGCTGGCATCCCATATGCCAGTTCAACTCCTGGCTGTTCACTTCCCATCCAGCTCCCTGCTCATGCACCTGGGAAAACAGCAGAGGATGGCCCAATATGCTAGGGCCACTACACCCAAGTGGGAGACCTGGACGAAGCTCCTAGCTTCAGCCCTGGCCATTATGGTCATTGCAGGGAATGAGCCGCCAGATAGATGAAAGAACTCTTTCTCCATCTCTGTCTCAGTCTGTCTTTCAAATAAATAAAGAAATCTTTAAAAAGAAAAAGAAACATGTGATCCCAGTGCATCACAGCAGAGCTGTTACTGGGATGCGTGGAGCCGTCACGCTCCAACGTGCTGCCACGAAACTCCAAGGTGTTTTGTCTCCCAAGACTGAGACGAAAGCGTGACTGTTGTTGGCTCACGTAGGTCACCCTGATGGCCTGCTGGCATGCAGTGGGCACTCAGGAGCCGTGAGCCCCTCAGCCCTGGAAGGTACCCATCTTCCCCACTGTGACTTGCCTGTGCGGAATCAAAAAGCTTGGCACCGAGTGGCCCAACCCAGGGCTGCTGCGTCTGTGTGGAAACCCCGGGTGGGTTCTATGCAAGACTGGCCAGGCCACAGGCACACAAAGTTAGCCGTTAGAATGTTCTTGCAGATTCCGTTTCATTGTAGACTAAGAGAGCTATCAGCACATTTTCCTGCCCTGGCAGCGAGGAGTGGGCCCTTGCTGTGGATTCATGCCGGCCTCCGCGGCCTGGAGAGCAGGGCCCTTGTTTTTCGCATGCACTCTGACAGCCCCCACAATGGAAGGTGGGTTCCAGAAACAAATCAGTGCGGCCACTTGGCAACTAACGACTGGCCACAAAGGAAATACAGTTTCCTAGAGAAATTGGTTTAATTTTTTATATTCAAACTTCCATGGCCCCTGACCTGCTCTTATCAGTGAAGGTTAACTGGAGGGCGCTGGGTCGCAATACAATGGATGCCACTAATTAAATAAGGGCTGGGCTGGGAAGGAGGACACTGGTTGATTTAAAGGGGCTGAGCACCCCCGAGTCTGTTAAGGACTTGAATACACTGGGTTTTGTTGTTGTTGTTGTTGTTGTCCCAGGGTCACAGAGGGGAGACAAGGCATTCTGAAAGTGCCGTCCCAGTTTTGCTTTAGGAACGCTTGGTGTGCAAGCCCTGTCGCACTGTCCCTCCCACCCCCCTGGTCCCTGGGGTGATGTGACCTCAGTGGAGCCCCCAAGCTGCTTCGGATCTGACGCGGCTCAAGCCCACCAAGGCCTGGGGACGAGGCTGCCTCTCCCCACCGGCCCGCGGGCGGAGGGCGCATCCTGCGGGCTTTCCTCTCCCCTTTGCCCTCCTGTCGCTCCGTCTGCTTGACATGTTTATTAAATAGAAGCTCCAGGCTGTGCAGACGGGCCCAGGCCCTCCTCCCGAGTCACCCATAGCTGACAGCCCCCCGCCTGTCTGGAGAAAGGATCCCAGAGCCCCACGGCCGGCTGCGGGGCTCTGTGGTTTGGGGGGTAGGGGCTCGTCTTGCTGTGTCCATACTTTAGGGGGTCTGCCCTACAAGGCTGTGTGTTTGAGTGCTAACCTGTCACTGCTGTTCTCCATGGTCAGTTTGACCATCACTAGTTAGACCTCTATGTGTACATCTGTGTAGCAAAGGACTAGTTCAGTGTTTTCCATTCAGAAAGGGACTGGCTAAAAGAGCTGAATGTCAGGGTTACAGGTGAATTCTGACGCTTCATTTTTGACAGTGAGAATACTTGCATGATTCCAAACAAGAGGTCAAAAAGTAAAACAAATGAACCCCTGAGCATAGCCCTGTGAAATGCCAGGGCCTGCCCAGTGGTGGGCAGGAAGCACCTGGGGCCAGGCCTGGCACGGGGGTCTGGGCCTCACCAGGCCACACGGTCCTGACACTCTCATCTCTTGTCAGTCTGTCGTAGGGGCAGAGGGCCTGTCCCTTGCATTCCGGCACATGGCCAGCTCCCTGCTGGGTCACTGCAGCCAGGTCTCCTGCGAGAGCCTCCTCCACGAGGTCATCGTCTGCGTGGGCTACTTCACTGTCAACCACCCAGATAACCAGGTAAGAGGCCCAGAGAGCATGCGGGGCGGCAGTGAGAAAAGGCAGGCTGGCCGGCTGGAAGCCATCTGTCCGGTGAGGAGCGTTACCAGGCTCCAGGGAGGTGCCTCTGGCATCTTCTTTCCAGAGAGATGGCTCAGCCCTGGATGCGCAGGGACGGGTGGGGGTAGGGGTCTGCCGCTCCAGGCTGTAAAGGTATCTCCCCATCCTCCGGGGTGCTGCCACCCCAGCTCCCAGGGCTGTGGTTTTGATCACACAGCGGTTTCCCACCCGCCTTGCTCTGGGGAGTCTATTCTGAGGCTCGCTCTGCTCATGGGGTCAGCCAGAAGGGCCCCCACAGGCAGGTGCTCACACCGTTCCTCCTCAGGTCGGCCAGCTAGCAGGTTGGCTCTGTGTGTACTTGTTTTGTTTATTTAGTATGTATTTATTGAGAGGCAGAGAAATGGAGACTAAGCGGAGCTGTCCCAACTGCAGTTTCACACCCCATGCTCACATGGGCCAGGGTTGGGTTAGGCTGAAGCCAGGAGCTGGGAGTTCAGTTTAGGTCTCTCTCCTCGGTGGCAGAGACCTGATCGCTCATACCATCTTCACACAAAGACCCTCAGCCTCTGTGTGCCCAGGAGCCAGGAGCCAGCAGCCGGCACCTAGCCCAGGGGCTGCAAGGGGACACGGGCTAGACATCTGCCCCTGGCTTGGCTTGTGACTGCTCTGATCATTGGGTGTTTGGGGAAGACTGCGTTTGTAATCCATGTTCCTGCTGCATTAAGAATTCAGAAATTCCTCTATCAATTTTGTAAAAAATAATTATTTTTTAAAAGTCTCATTCTTTTTGATTTTTGAAAACCCAACTTAGAGCATAGCTGGCATGTCAGGTTGTAACTCCTGACAACCTCATTTGCCCGCTACTCAGCAGCCTTCATTGTACAGACTGTTGCTAAGAAAAAGGGGCCTCTGAAAGACCCTTAACCTTCACTCCACAACTCATCCTGTTCTTGGGAAACTATCAAGAACCACCCATGGTTCTTAGGCCCAGGCAGCCCAGCACCGTGAAAGGGGTCAGAAGGCCCACCCTCTGAGCCCAGACAGCACCACAGGGAGGAACCAGAGGAAGGGGACTGGCTAAGGCCTCCCCCGCTGGCCCCGAGTGGGCACAAGCAGCCCAGGCATCTGCCACAGTCCCTCAGGGACAGCTGAGGGGCACTTGGGCCACCTGGGGGAAATCATAGTTCTTCCCTCCACCATGTGCAGTGAACATTCTGGTACCTTCCCTCCCAGGTCCTTTTCCACAACCACCATGGTACGGCTGAGGCCACACTCTGATACGCTCGTGGCCAGCTCCACCCCTTGCCACTATGTCAGAATCCCAGTGTGGGTGTCATGCAGGTGGCACCATGACTCCTTGCGTGGACATTACTGTTTCCTAATCCCACTGCTTACGAAACGTCATCACATCCTGCTGTCCTGGCAGGTGCTGAGGAGCTGCCATGTACGGCCAGGCTTTGCTGGGCACATCCCAACAGGGATGCATGGACAGTTTTTGCTGAACCCAGCCATGTTGTAATAAACATGCTGGCCCAGAACTGTGCGGATTCTATACAGGCTGCTGGTGCTAGGCTAGACTGTTCCCTCCAATAGAGGCAGCACACACCAAGGCATCACTGGGCACCCCAATGTGGGCAAGGACCTGGGCATTTCAGACAGGACCTCCTGGGAGAGAGACTGCTGAGCCAGGGGAAGAGAAGAGAGCAGGTGGAGTGACAGAGCACAATGAGGAGCAGGGCCCAGGGTCTTGTCTCATCTTAGCTGGGGCAGAGGAGGGTGCAGTGAAGTTAGAAGCTGTTGCTGACTCTGAAGAATCTAGAAAACTTTGTGTGTCCACACCTTACTTCCCAGCAGGACTGATTGTGATACTCCACATCCATTTCTGATTTAGGGGAAGGCCAGAGAGGTTGTTTCAGTCCTGGGCAATTACTGTAATGCAATGATCTATGAGAAGAAAAAAAAAAATGTGTTTAGAAAGCACAGAAATAAGCAAAGAAGAGATAGACAAAAACCAGGAAGGGAGGGCATTGTGGTGCAGTGGGTGGCTAAGCCAGCATTGCGGTTCCCTGCATCTCATGTGTAAAGCGCCAGTTTGAGTCCCTGCTGCTCCATTTCTGATCCAGCCTCCTGCTAGTGCAACTAGGAGGCAGCAGGTGATGGCCCAAATGCTTGGGCCCCTGCCGTCCACATGGGAGAACAGGAGGGAGGGAGCTCCTGACACAGAGTGAGTTAGCAAATGGAAGATCTCTCTAAGTCTCTGTCTCTATGCCTTTCAAATAAGGAAGTAAATCCTTAAAAAAAAAAAAAGAAACAGGCAGGGCCGAGGTGAGAGACACCACACCTTGTAATCATGTTTCTAAGCACAGTGCCTCCATCTGTGGGCTCCTCTGTGCTGTTCTTCCTGCCTGCTGAGGTGCAAGGACAGGAAATAAGCTTGCCCCCTCCCCCCTCCCAGTCAACTAAAACTTGAGGCTCTCAGCAGCAGAGTAAGCCCCTGAGTAACAATGAGCTGCAGGGAGGCTGAGACAGGGATCCAGGCCCTGCCAGGCCCAGCTCAGCCTGTGTTCCTCTGTGTCCCATGGGGAGGCCAGGACGGGAATTCAGGCCCTGCCAGGCCCAGCTCAGCCTGCGTTCCTCTGTGTCCCATGCTGTGTAAGCAAGGCAGGTACAGCCCACTGCCCTAGCCACCAGCCATTGCTCAAGTGTACTCTGGGTACCGTGGGAGACACCCGCTGTCAGCACCCTGAGAAGCAGCCCGGCTGCCCTCACCCTGCTCCCCGGAAGCTTCTGGGCCACGTGTGTGAGCTAATTCCAGCCATGTTTTACAAACACAAATGGACTACCAGGGGTAAAGCACCAAGGACCTGGGTTCCTGCCCAGCTGTGCTACTTGCTCAGGGATGGCGGGAGTGGCCCTTTCTCCCTGCGTGGCTATGTTGGGCCCTTCTGTCCCCATGGGGATATTCTGTTGAGATGGATAGCAAAGACCACACAACCCAGAGCCAAGGCCTAGGGTGGCTGAATGGTAGGGCTGAGGCTATACCTGTTGTGTGTTCTTTACTCTGTGAGCGCCATGAGCCTAGAACCACACCCAGACCAGCACCCCAGGCCCTATGTGGTTTCTCAGAACCTGCTCACACTGCTCCAGGTTCTGTTGGCATTACGTGGCCATGGCCGTGTATGGCTAACAACTTCACAGAAGGTATTGAGGCCGATGCCCTGGGCAAAGGGCCCCTCAGGCCTTCCCTAGGAAGCTGTCTCTGCCAGCTCCAGCAGTGCGAAACGCCAGGATCTGACCGTCACAGCTAGGCAGGGTGGTGATGCCCGCTGGCAGCCTGGTAGACATGGGATATTTTCTGTCTTCATTTAGAAGCTATTCAGTTGCATTATCTTTCTGCTTACACCCCAAAACCCAGCTGGGTGCACTGGGGAGCCCTTGGCCCTCACAGCCTTAGCCTCCTAGCCGTGGCCATGGCACTTCCAACACAGACAGGCTCTGGTGAAGCCCAGCCTCATCATCCCACCTCCCCCTGCCCTTAGGGAGTCTGCCACTTTCTCTAAATCACAGGGAGGAATTATGGTGCCCAATTCACTTAATGTTGGCATGTCATCAGTCAGGAGTCTGGTGAGCGGGCAGGGTCCGTCTGTCCATGGGGAGGCAGGTGATCTGAAATCTCACTTCAGCCTGAGCCTGAGCCTGCTGCCTTAATAGCCACTCCACAGCCAGGACTGGCACATGGTCTGCTGACAGGAGGCCCAAGCCCCTTGATACCAAGGGTGACTTTAGAAGATAATAGAAGTCCCGCCCTCTCCTTGCCATAGCCAGTCATCTGCATCTCCAGGACCACAGCTCTCATTAAAGTGTTATTGTTTTAATCAAAAACCTCCCTGTTTTATGGCATTCTCCATTCTCCTTCCCATTTAATTATTATAATGAACGTAATTAGTATATGCTGTCAGCCCTCCACTTTATTTACATTTTGTATTGGGTAATTAAATGAGGGCTGATAATTAAATTAACTCAGATGACAGATGACTGTGCCTGCCTGCCGGGTGGACAGCTGTACTGGGGGGTAAGCGCCTCTGAGTGCGTCTCCGTCCGTGACTGACTGCCAGGCCGGCGTGTCCTGTGAGAGGGTAACGTATGGGTCCTTCCAAGCACCCCAAGGATCTCTGTCACTAGTTGGGTCAGAGCAGGTGCGCTGAGCAGGGAAGCATGCCTGAGCTGCGGGCTCCGCCATTCTCAGACAATAACCCAAATCCTCGGCTGTGCTCACCTGCGGCATCCCCCACCCCGGCCAGTCTGTAGGCCAGGCCTGCACAGATGTGCTTGGGAGAATCAGTTTCTCTTATCCCTGTCCCAGCTTCTGGAGGTGGCCTGTTCCCTGCTCAGGCAGCCTCTCTTGTCTTTCCCCAAGGCAGCCGAGGGTCCTGGGTGGGCACGCCCCCAGGGCTTGGAGAGTGGGAGTGCACGGGCTTGTCTGTGCTCCAGGGCCGGCAGCCCGTGCTTTAGCTGTCACCCAGGCGTTGAGCTTCCTGTATTTGCTTTCTTTGTGTGGCAGCTACGGTTCCTTTCAGACGGTTGAAAGGTATCTTGTGTGAGGAAGAGCCCAGGAATTTCAACAATATAACCATTTTGGAACTAACTTCCTCTCAATGTTACAACACCAAGGAAAAATGTAGTGGAGGGGGAGGGAGAAGGAGTTGCCAAAAGTAGAACAAAAAACAGTTGCCAAATTAAAGATGATTTCTGATTTAAACATACTAAGACTTTTTTTTCAGATTTATTTATTTTTATTGCAAAGTCAGATATACAGAGAGGAGGAGAGACAGAGAGGAAGATCTTCTGTCCTATAATTCACTCCCCAAGTGACTGCAACAGCTGGAGCTGAGCCAATCTGAAGCCAGGAGCCCGGACCCTCCCCCAGGTCTCCCATGTGGGTGCAGGGTTCCAAGACTTTG